GGGGAGGCCGCAGCCCACACCGGCAGCCTTAACTCCAGTAATGTGCCCAAATTGCTCCCTCAGTTCCCGGCCACCATCCAGCGTTGCAGCAGCCCTGAGGGACGCCAGGATCGCCTCAATATCCATCCCTCAAGCTGTGAAGACTACAGGCCCAGGCAAACAGTAGCAGGAGGACAGGAAGCTGTTTGCTGGCCCAAATCCCAAGTGGCACTGAGGTAAGACCACCGCCTCCACTAACTCACATAGAACCTAACCCCACTCACACGCTCTTCCCAAACCACTCCCACGCATCTATCCCCTTGTCCGCTTAGCTGCGCTATATCCCCAGGGCCTGAAACAGTCACCCCTTCTTGCCCCCTCCTACCCCCTGTCACATTAACCCCATAACCCTGCCACATTTACCCCAAACCTGTAACACTCAACCTGCCAGTTAACCCCTCTACTCACTCTGACACAGTCACCCACTGAGGACAGTCATCATATGCACCAGTGGCGTACATACCGTAGTCGCAAGGGTCATGGCTGCGACAGGGCACGGCCCACCAGGGGGCCCGGCCCACCAGGGGGCCCGGCCGCCCTGCAACCTGGTATGCACGTCAGTGGCAGTGTGGCCACATTTTGCCAGCCGAGGCTGGCAGTGGCTTCAGTTTGCCGGCGGGCGGCCGAACTGGCTGCTGTTCGTGCGCGCGATGATGATGTCATATTCCGGCTCCGGCATCAGCATGCAGCACGAGGGAGCTGGACAGAGAGCACTCAGGGGAGAGTGCTCCCTCGCACGCCCAGCAGCCCGACCGGCAGCCCAGCAGGACCCCATTGGACCCCAGGGACAGCAGGACCCCATTGGACCCCAGAGACAGCAGGAGTCCCCACAGCACTCCCAAAGGTAGGGAGGCTGGGGGATTAAATAAAATAAAAAAAAATGTGAGTGTGTGTGTTACTGTGTGTGTGTGTGTGTCTGTTAATGAATGTGTTAGCTTGTGTGTGTCAGTGAGTGTGTTACTGTGTGTGTTAGTTTGTGTGTGTCTGCTAGTGAGCGTCAGTAAGTGTGTTAGTGAGTGTTATTGTGTGTGTGTCACTGAGTGTGTTTGTGTGTCTGTTATTGAGTGTGTGTGTGTGTCAGTGAGTGTGTGTGCTACTGTGTGTGTCTGTTAGTGTGTGTCTGTTAGTGTGTGTGTGTTTGTCAGTGAGAGTGTATGTTTTGTAAGTGAGTGTGTATGTGTGTCTGTCACTGAGTGTGTGTCTGTCAATAAATGTGTGTCTGTTAGCTAGTGTGTATGCGTCTGTTCGTGAGAGTGTGTGTGTGTGTGTGTGTGTGTGTAGTTAAAACCCCTTCAGCACTTACCTTTTTCCAGTGCCAGGCTCAAACCGCCCATAGGAAAGCATTACTCAATGCTTTCCTATGGACGTCAAGCGGAAGCGCCTCTAGCGGCTGTCAGTGAGACAGCTACTAGAGGCTGGATTAACCCTCAGTGAAACATATAATTTATGACTGTGTGTGTGTTTGAGTCTGACTGTGTGTGTGTATCTGACTGTGTGTGTGTGTCTGTGTGTGTGTGTTTGTCTGACTGTGTGTGTGTCTGACTTTGTGTTTGTGTCTGACTGTGTGTGTCTGTGTGTGTGTGTGTGTCTGTGTCTGACTATGTGTGTCTGACTGTGTGTGTGTGTGTTTGTGTCTGACTGTGTGTGTGCTTGTATCTGACTGTGTGTGTTTGTGTCTGACTGTGTGTGTGTGTTTGACTGTGTGTGTCTGACTGTGTGTGTCTGGCTGTGTGTGTGTGTGTGTGTGTGTCTGAGTGTGTCTGACTGTGTGTGTGTGTTTGTGTCAGACTGTGTGTGTGTTTGTGTCTGACTGTGTGTGTGTGTCTGACTGTGTGCGTGTATGTGTGTGTGTGTTTGTGTCTGACTGTGTGTGTGTGTATGTGACTGTGTGTGTTTGTGTGTGACTGTGTGTGTGACTGTGTGTGTGTCTGACTGTGTGTGTGTGTCTGTGTGTGTGTGTGTGTGTGTGTGTTTGTCTGACTGTGTGTGTGTCTGACTGTGTGTGTGTATGTGTCTATGTGTGTGTTTGTGCCTGTGTGTGTGTTTGTGATTAAAGCTCAGGGGAGTATGCAGAGCATAGCAATCCCCAGTGTGAATATAGCTATCCCCTCCAATCACGAGACAAGACTATATGTTGAGGGTCAAGAAGAACTGTTTTAATTGGCACCAAAGGGCCTTCTTTTATGTAGGTTTTCCCTACATAGGACCACCCACAGGGTTTTTCAGCACAACCAATAAAAACATTAAAACACATACAATAACGTAAACCACTACCATTCATCCCAGCAGAAATCCTCCCCTCTGCCTGTGATAAAATTATCTCAACACAATCGACTAACTTAATTATCACAGGCAGAAAATATACAGTTTTTACACAATTCCTATAACTTTAAAAGTATGCATGCAATATTAATAAAAGTTACATATTTGAAATCAGCGTCCTTTAAATATAAACATACTCAAAAATCATAAAAATCCGTCCAGTAGTTCAAAAGTTAGTCGGACGTCCTTTATGACCGACTGCAAGAACATTTTCATGCCCAAAACAGTTCCATGGATTTGGCTACACATACCGCTGACCTCGTTCGAATGAACAATGATGGCCACCGCCACGTGTTCATTTGCATGAACGGCGGCCCTCCAGCGGTCGGCAATTTACCTACAGCAGGCTTCCAGCCTGGGAGGTAAATTGCCTGCACACTTCCACTTCAGGGTGGTCCGCCTGTGTGGTACTTGGTTCAGTAAGCCCTATTTACTGAATCAAGTGGGAAACAGCCATGCACAAGTAATTTTCCCAGTCTGGGGACACTGGGGACACAGTCTTAAAGGGGCATTGTCCCAAACAAGTCTGGGGACATTGGGGACACTGTCTTAAAGGGGTATTGTCCCGATTTTCACCATGCCCCAAAAATATGCTTAAAGAGCCAGCACCAGTCCCATAAAAGTCCATATGCCCCAATACAGTTCTTAAAGGGCCATACACAGTCCAATACAAGTCCATAGGCCTAAATAGCATTTTTAAAGGGTCATACACTCCAGGGCCATAGTCACAGGGGAGGAGGCAGGCAAGCAGGCCTCTCCAGGACCAAGTGGCGAAGGGCACTTCATCACAGAGGGTGATGGGGTTTATGAATACAGTTTATAATACAATTATGTTTCACGCGTCTTAATATTTTCTTTTAAATAATTTATCTAGATTTGTTACCCATAGACTTAATGATAACTAAAATGTCAACCTAGGCTAACAAAAAGGGTACGTTCATCATGAACTAAATGTAGTGTCAGCTGCATTTCTCAGTACTCCTCCAATTAAAGGGGATTGGACCGCCCCTTAATGGCGTCATCTGGCCAATTAAAAGCTAAAGTCTCAAATATCATAGCGCTGCCTGCCAATAGGAGATCAATCACTTTCAACTTCCTCTGTTCCAGCCTAAATAGGATAATTAATATAATCCTCATATCAGACCCGATCGCATGAACAATTGGATCACTGTATTTAGAAACATTTGAGTACTGAAAATTGTATACAATAAGTTGTTTATACTTTACTTATTCAGACATATAATATGTACTTTATTTTCCTCTCTTACTTTTTGTGTCACTATTCACATATCACTTTACTTTTTGTATACGTATATTATTAACATATTTCTTATTTTATTTCATTTTTTTTCTCATCTTTTGATTGATGCTATTCTAATAAAGGTAATGTTTCATAATGAAGGCTGTCTTGAAGTTTCGATCCCTTCAGCGACTTTACTTTTTTTTGTTAATAATTGTTCAAAACTGTTGGGCCTTTTCCATTTGCCTGTTATCACTCAGTCTATTGGTGACAATTCTACATTATATTATTTAGTCTTTATTCAATGTTGTACTACATACATTGAATAGCCACCAGTGTCAAGAAAAGACAGTGATATGAATTCAGCAGAAGATTCTTTATTTATGACATTTATTTAAAGTGTTCTATTAATGTTGTATTTAAATGCTGTAATAAATAGGGTTCAGCTTTATATGCAAAATTGTTTACAAAAAAAATGTACTCAGTATTTTATTATTTTTAGATTCCAAGATCTCGGTGTTCAGAACGTTGTTCGCCTGGAAAAAGAAAAGTCCAAAAATCTCAAATTCATACCTGCTGTTATCTCTGTGTCCCGTGTTCAGAAGGGGAAATATCCAATAAATCTGGTATTATCAAATCTTACCGCAGTAAATTAACGTTTCACAAGCTGATCGTTTCTAGCTCTGAACAAGATATATTAGATAAAAAGAATAAAATATAAATTGAATATCATGCTCTAAATACCAGTACTTACTAATAACACACAGGGTCACTGCACCAAATTATACATTTCAATTATACATTTCATAATGCAGCTATGTTTGCATGTTGAGGGCCTTGACAACATTCAATGATTCAGGAAAAAGTGAGTGTGCAATTGATGACCAGTCATACATTCCAACATGAGAAGAACAAAGCTTCCCCACTCATCAAGTGTGAAGTGTGAGTTACTGTCCTTTAGTGCGGGAAAAAAAACAGTGCCCTATCAACTAATGCCAACAGCATTTATGGAGGAAGCATGCATAGTCACACTACAAAGGGGGAGTCACTACAATAAAATGCATTTTAAAAAAAAACAGGGAGCTTTAGAAGCAGGAGTAATTTAACCCCTTCCTGCTGTCACTGCGTTCTATTCCGTCCCGCATTTAATGGGCTTTAAAGCCGTTGAGGAAGAATAGAATGCCGTAGCGGCTTAAGCCCCTTGCAGGATACCAGGGTACTCACCTCTGCCAAAATCTGACAGGCCATGCAGCCCTCCCCTGTCAAATTAGGCCCCCTCAGACCATGTGATCACTCTCAAACAGAAGAAAAAAATTATATGTATATATATATAACACGAATAATTAGGCACACTCCTGGGTTTAAATAGTGTTCAGTTTACTGTGTCCATAAGTTCAAAGTTCAGTAGATCAACGTTTCGACCGATTCAGGTCTTTATCACTTTGTTCTGATCTTGATAAAGACCTGAATAGGTCGAAACGTTGATCTACTGAACTTTGAACTTATGGACACAGTCAACTGAACACTATTTAAACCCAGGAGTGTGCCTAATTATTCGTTATATATATGTTTTCGCTGGTTCTGCTGCACCCTGGTATGTATCTATAATTATTATTCTTAAGGAAGAGTGCCAAACCATCTCTATTTTTTATATATATGTATAGGATGGCTGCTCACCGGTCTTAAAAATGTAAATACTTTATTAGATAAAGTTAAAAATGGCCAACGGTACAAGTACATACATGAACCATATATATCTACAAGTATAATCAAGATAACTCACCCAGGTGTTGTGCACCCGCCTCCAAAGCCGCCGAGTGAACTTCTGTGTGTGCGCGCGCATCCAATTGCATGCTCCATCCATCGTCATACACATAATGCGTACCGACGTAACCGGTTTCAGCACCCGGTTGTCTAGGGAACAATAAACAAAGCACTGCTCTGTGTTTGAAAGGGACCGCACCAGAATAGTGGACAATTAGGGAGTTCAAAGGTTATTAATTTAATCAGTAAGTAAACAGTGTATAGTGCCCACAAAGACCTTAAGCAATAAGGAGCCTATGGTGGAGTGTTTAGGAGATCCCTATATAGGGTGAAAAGATAAAAATGTCAAGAGAGCTTGGCTCGGTGTCAGATTAGAGATCTGAATAACCAGATCTTAGAGTGAAAATAATGTGAAGAAATAAGTTAGTGTATCATATCAATATAAAAGGGTCTTCTCATACCTCAATAAGCATAGTTTAGTACAAAGTGCTTAAGTGAAACAAAATGAAATATTATCCACATATAGTACAAAAATATTCACTAATGATCATATTATTCTAATATAAAAATCTATACCCATCTCTCTTAGGGAAATCTCCATATATTAACATAAAAACAATATAAACAAGCTGGCTATACTAAATAAATGAATGGAAAGTTAGGGTCTCATTAAGCCTTCTAGGAGACACCGTATTTAACTGGTGTATACAAAGCACCACCTGTTGAAGCAACATTCTGCCCCTTTTCCCACCTCTTCTGGGGGGTAAGGGTGGATGTGGTCTATACCCCAAAATTTAAGGGATACCAGCGGATGTCTTTTTTCCAAAAAGTGTTTGGCTACTGGCTTGTAGGCCAATCTAATGCTAGAGCGGTGACCCCTAATCCGCTCTCACAAGGGTGTCTCCGTTTTCCCAACATAGTAGAGGCCACAAGGGCACATCAATTTATAGACCACGTATGGGGTTCTACACGTAATTGTATGCCTTATCTCATACGTCTTATTCGTGTGTGGGTGATTGAATTGTTTGGAAGGGATCATGTCACACAACCTAAACACCGTATGCATCCTTGTTCGTTGCTCTTGACTCTCTTTGAGTAACTGTCCACAGGGTCTGTATGTGCCAACATGTCCCTGAGAAAGAATGCCCAGATAAAGAAGCACACATATGTATTATTAGATATAATTATAATTTGATTTTATATATATATATATATATATATATATATATATCTAGGACATTATTCCTGTTAGGTTTCTTTTATTGATACTATATATATCAATGTGTTTTATCTAACAAGCTATGCGTGTAGTATTTAATCTTATATTAAACAAATACATATATGCAGTATACTGTTATAGAACCAAAACATGAAACACCTGCAGTGTACTAAGGCACTTCAGGAGGGGAAAGCAGTGAATATAAAAGCAACCTTTATTGTATAACATGAGTTACAGGTAACTTAAACCCAAAAAAGTACAATAATACCCAAGGGGTACAGGGTAGCCACGGGCTGCCAAACAAGGATGGGTAAATTAGGCTCAGAGAGATCAGTGGGGAATATGTATGGTGATTGCTATATGTGCTATGTCTGCCAAAAGTCCCCCCTTTACATTAGCTGTCTATTTACCAAATTAGAAAAAAATGAGGAGGCATAAACCCCGCAATCCTAGCACCAGACTGCCAGACAAGAAAGAGCAAATTTGGCTCAGAGATCAGTGGTACCTGGGAAATACGTATGGTGATTGATATATGTGCTATATCTGCCAAGGGCTGGTCTAAAACCCCAGATAAAACTCTTTTAAATATTATAGAGTCACCAGATAGCTTTTAGCATCAAGGTAATGTTTGTTGAGAAAAAAACGCAATAATGTAGATATGCCCCCAAATAGGGCTAAAAAAATCCTAATAGCAGCTAAGGTTCTTGCTGCTTGACAGAAAGAAGAGAATGGTGGTGAAGAAAGAAAGAAGAAGAAAGAAAGAAGAAGAAGAAATTTAAATGGGGTTCAGCTTTATATGCAAAATTGTTTGCAAAAAAAATGTACTCCGTATTTTATTATTTTTAGATTCCAAGATCTCGGTGTTCAGAACGTTGTTCGCCTGGAAAAAGAAAAGTCCAAAAATCTCAAATTCTCTCCCCCTTTTTACTATAGCTGTCCAATAACAAAAATAGAAAAAAGGGGGGAAGCATAAGCCTCACAATCTTAGCCAAACAAACTGACCCTAGGTACCTCGGCACCATGGGATTCCCACTAGTGCCTACCTGAACCAACTGATTGAATCTAAACCAAGTGCATTTAAAGTAACAAAAAAGTGCTACCCATCGTGAGTGGTCTACACACACATATTGTTTTCCATCCTGTTTCTCTTTTTTGATGCCAAGGATGTCATGTTCATTAACAACAGTAGTGTGCAGCGCTAATCAATAATATCACCAAGTACAATATAATGCATGCACTATAATAGTGTAAACCCAAACAGAGAAAACACACAAATACCCCAGAATATACAGGATCAGCTGGTATAAAATTCAATAATACATCCCATTTCTGAAAGTCTGTATTGGGTGATGGTGTTTCTTGATGGTTTTCAAAGATATTTCTCTGTATGAAGCTTGTTCCTCGAAGCAAAATAGTGTAGAACAGGCATACAAATTAAAGATCAAGTATAACCATTTATTGGTATAAAATATAAAAATCTTACATGAAAGCAATGATGATGCCGTTCACAGGTAAGTACCATACACAAAGCACTGTGTATGGTACTTACCTGTGAACGGCATCATCATTGCTTTCATGTAAGATTTTTATATTTTATACCAATAAATGGTTATACTTGATCTTTAATTTGTATGCCTGTTCTACATTATTTTGCTTCGAGGAACAAGCTTCATACAGAGAAATATCTTTGAAAACCATCAAGAAACACCATCACCCAATACAGACTTTCAGAAATGGGATGTATTATTGAATTTTATACCAGCTGATCCTGTATATTCTGGGGTATTTGTGTGTTTTCTCTGTTTGGGTTTACACTATTATAGTGCATGCATTATATTGTACTTGGTGATATTATTGATTAGCGCTGCACACTACTGTTGTTTGTGTTCACTTTGTGCTGTGGGATTTAGTGATTTTTCCCACTAAGTGTGTTTCAGCTGCTTATTGTAGCGCCACGGATTAGACTATTGTTTTTCTTTGTGTCATGTTCATTGTCTGTCTTGTTTGGTTTGTGATTCATCCACATGAAGTTTCTGATTTGCTGATAAACCGAAATTTAGATTAATCCTGATTCATCCAAAACTGAATGCACAAATCTATAGGATATGAAGCAACGTGACATATAAAATTGTGACTGGCTGATAACGTTATTATCTGACCAACACTATCGGAAATCTAGAGCATGGGTATTTATTCCAAATGCAGAAAAATGTGACTATTTTTATTAACTCATTGTTCATTTTTGCTTTGTTTTCAAATGCATTCCATGCATCGTTTGTGCAATGCACTAGAATTGATAACTGAAATCCAGCATGGAATATCCCATTAACTTTGAAATGTTTTTTTCTTCTGTTTCAGATAGTGAAAACTGCATACAATGCGCAAGGTATGAATGGCCCAATGAGAATAAGGATCAATGTATTTCAAAACTGATGGAGTTTCTTTCCTACACTGATGACATATTGGCTGCAGTTTTCGCATTTAGTTCTATTTTCTTTTTCTTGATAACTGTTCTCATATTATTTATTTTTATTTTATTTTGGGAAACACCTATTGTCAAAGCCAATAACAGGAACCTCAGCGTTATTCTTCTTGTTTCCATCATGCTGTGTTTTCTATGTGTGTTTTTATTCCTTGGTCAACCTGCGGATATAACCTGCATGTTCCGTCACACGGTTTTTGGATTCATCTTCTCAACAGCTGTGTCTTCTGTGTTGGCAAAGACTATCATGGTTTATATTGCTTTCAAAGCCACCACACCTGGCAGCACGTGGAAAAAATGGATCAGCGTTAAAATATCCAATTACATAGTCCTATTCTTCTCATCAATTCAAGTACTAATAAATATCAGTTGGTTGGCTACGTGCCCTCCTTTCCAAGAGCTGGACACACACTCCTCTCTAGGAAAGATCATCATTCAGTGTAACGAAGGCTCAGTTATTGCATTTTACTCTGTCCTGGGTTACCTGGGGATTCTGGCAGCTGTTAGCTTTATTATGGCTTATTTAGCCAGGACATTACCGGACAGCTTTAATGAAGCCAAGTACATCACTTTCAGCATGCTGGTGTTCTGCAGTGTTTGGATTGCGATGATCCCAGCTTATCTGAGCACCAAAGGGAAATACATGGTGGCTGTAGAGGTTTTTGCCATATTGGCTTCAAGTGCTGGACTTCTAGGCTGTATATTTTTCCCAAAATGTTTTATAATCATTTTTAGACCAGAAATAAACACAAAAACATATTTGCTTGAAAGTCAAAACAGATAAATTTCAATTTTAATTAAAATGCATACAGTAATTCCCAGTTTTCCATGTATTAGTTTAATCTCTTTACTGGGGAACTCCTCTTTCCTAACCATCCCTCTGTGTTTTTATTTTCACTCCCGTGCTTGATTAACATGTCCTTAGTACTATGGCACTTAAAATGCTCAGTTCACAATTTGGGTGTAGTGTTATACACCCCCATATTAAAATAAAGTTTGTGGAGTTCAGGTTTCAATTTAAGTTGTTATGT